CAAACTTCTTAACTTATGCCTTATCTTTTATCAATCCAACTAACATAGTTCTATTATCTTTGCAGAAACATTTGATAAGAAGTAGTACTCAACCCTGACATGGCTTCTATTTTGAGGGTTACATCTACTTTCAATTCTAGTGCTCTGAAGCCCTCATTCGGTCTGTCAAGCATGTCAAAGAGAAATTGGAGCACTTATTTAAGGAGCATGTTGAGAGGGTGATGAAAAGGTACACTAGTGACGAAGGATGTATTCTCTTCATTCGCTAGGTGTATAGAACTTTGGTCATAGCCTGAGTAAGCATCCATGAAACTCAATAATTCATGCCCTGTGGTGGAGTCCACAAGTTGTTCTATCTTTGGAAGAGAAAAATCATCCTTAGGACAAGCTAAGTTGACGTTGGAGAAGTCAATGCATACCTTCCATTTATCATTGTACTTCTTCACAAGGTTGGATTTGAAATCCACTTCAGATAAGTGGCCTTCCCGATAAAGTCGTTGCTTATCAATTTCTATACTTCTTTCTTTAAGGCCTCGTACCTTTTTCAGGTTGAGGGCCATTCTCTTTTGTCTATGGAGGGAAATCTTAGGATTAGTTTTTAGGTGGTGACAATTGACTTTTGGGCCAATGCTAATCATATCTTCGTGCTTTCAGGCAAAGATATTAAGATTTTTTCACAAGTAGCTCTTGAGCTTTTTCAACCTCTGGTGGCAGGTCCTTTCCCATACGGAATGTTTTGGTGGGTCTTGAGGGTCCACCAAGAAGCTCTCTAGCTCTTCTATGAAGGTATTTTGGGATTTAGACTCAATAATGTAGGGGTCCACCTCATCAAATATGACCACTTATTTTAGGGCGCATCCATCATTTCGATGTCTTTTTGTCCTGAGGTTTGTCCTTCAGGAGCATTGACCATGTCAGCATCTATTAACACCATGTTGACATCCATAGGTTTGACTTTTCTTATGGAGTTTAGGTAACACTCCTTGTGCTCTTATTTAATCACTTTTAATCGTGGTTTATCTCGTGCTCGGTTAAGAATTTCATACAAATGTGGTAAATGGACGTGGCGACCCATAAATTATTTAGGGTGGGTCTTTTTAGCACCCTGTAGTAGGTGGATCGGTTATCTACTACCAAAAATTTAAAGTTAAGAGGCATTTCAGATGGTTCACCCATTTCCATAGCAAGAGTGATTTTCCCTCTTGGGATGATGTTGTTACCGAAGAAGCCGTACAAGGAAGTATTTATGGGAGTAAATTTATGATCTACAATCATTTTATCAAAGGTGGAACTAAAGAAGATGTTGACGGAGTACAGTTGTTTACTAGCATATGCTTTAACCCATTGCAAGTTACCGCTGCCTTTACTGTAAGGGCATTACAATGGGAGTATTGCACACCCACAGCATTCTCTGAATGAAGGTAACTAGCAGTAGTTGCCTTCCACGTGAATTATTATCAATTATCTAACTAGCCATTGGGGTCTTTTGCCTCCCTCACTTAGCTTCTTTGGGAATTCTTTGTCTCGTCACCAACATAAGGGTCTCCAAAAATCATGTCCATCTTTCAAATAGACACGTCATTTACATTGGTGAGGTGGTCCCTACGCTGTCTTTGTCCTTCCCTAGGCCTCTCTCTATCGCGCTCTCTCATGCATCGTAGGGATATTTCTCAACGGGGTTGTCTTACCTCTTCATGTCTAGGCTATTAAACTCACCTAGGTAGAGACGGATCTCTATAAGGAGAGTGATTGTTTCTTTAGTCATTCCGAGGGTTGAATTGTTCAAGATGTTGGGCAATATCTCTATAGTTTGCCTTGTCATGACTATAAGAGTGATGGTAAGTGCAGTATTGGGTTGCATCTAACCTATTCCTAAGTCTGAAACTTTGCCCTCAACCTTTTCTCCTCTGGGGGCTACCTAGACCCACCTTGTCGCACGTAAGTACTAGGGTCTACATCCTCGTTGCCCAATGTGGTGCATTTAATATAGATGTGGCTAGTGCTTAGCCCGAATTAGAGATGATTGCATGGCTAGCCTGGTTCCATTGGTGGTCCATTAAATGGGAGTTGGGTCTTTTTTTGTTGCCTCTGAAGAGGTGGAAAACTCCTACTAGCCTGTTACGATGATCAATCAACTCTTTGTTGATGATTTTTTGTCTCATTATCTCTAGCATAGTATTATAGATGAAGGGATCTTGATTCTATACATCCCTCCAAAAGATAGTATTCATGTTAAGTCCTCTCCTTAAGCCCGATAATGCCTTCTTGTCAGTGACTTGCATATGGTATGTTATCTCTTCGGTAAAACCCGGGCTAAAAAACTTTTCAACATCTCTCCAGGCTATTGTCTTATGTCCTAGAAATGCTGAATATGAACTTCTCCTTCTTTACTTGTTGCGAATCATTTCAAAAATGTGCTTTTGAATTCTGACCAACTTCTAATACTCTGTTGCTCCGCTTAAAGTCAAATGGAAGGCTCTACATTTGACTGTGGAGGAGGCACCCCTCAAGCTCATATGTGTTTTGTAGCTATTTAAGTGCTGAGCCGAATCACCTTTTTCATCATACTTAGATATTTTTGGTGGCACATAGTCGTTTGGAATAGAAGCATTTCTCGGTCATTGCGAAAAAGATAGATTATCATCAATGTCATCAAGGTCGTAAGACCTTTGTGGTTCATCTAAATACTTGTCCTTATTGGCCTGGTACTTGGGGACGGATAAGATGGGCCTGCTTGATCCATTGCCATCTCCTCCCTACTTTAGCTCCTGCTTCTAGACGGGACATTTCATGAAGCATGATGTTACCTCTCTTCATGTTGTCTTACTAAGGGAGGTGGTAGTTGAGGCCCGTTTCTAGGCATTGGAGGTGGATGCAATAGCATGTGCCTAGGTCATGTTAGACTGAGTTGGTTAAAACACTAACCGACCTTTGGGCCATATGCTCTAGCTTTATTCTAGGGAAGTTATCCACTATGTCTACTGGGGCCTTGGTGGGTTCCCTAGAAGCATAGTTTAAGGAAATGTCCACTCCCACTTTTTTTTCAAGGGGACTATTCTTTCTTGTATGTTGGTGGGATGGAGTTCTTTAGCTTCGGACTTTGTCTTTCTAGGAATAATACCCTTATAGTCCATAAGGAGGAATTAGTTGACCTCCTCAGCCTTGCATATGCGTTAGAAGTTTCTTGTATGGCCATATTTTGGTGGGTGATATTTCTCATGTTAGCAGCCATTGTTGCTATTTTTCGGGTGAATAGGGTAACCACTCTCATCCCACCTCGCCTATGATGGTGGTGGAGTCGACGCTGACCTGCTAAGACTATTCCTTAGAAATCCCTTCTTTAAGGTTTTCTCTCACTCTTCTAGGTAGAACATCATGGTCTGAACTCTTTTTTCTCAATTACTAAATATAAAAACTCCTTGATCTAGGGGCTTTCACTTGTTCCTTTTCAATAAAAAATCAATTTTGAGGAAAATGCCCAACAACTTTCCAACGAGCTTTTTTCACAAGGATGTTCGTGTTTATAGTGGTGTTCTTGACAGGTGAAATTCTGTTGACCTTGATTTTTGGATGCACATGTATACAACAGATATTGGGGCCCACTCATGTCCACTCAAGCTAATTCCAGCACGCTTGGAGATATTACTAATTAACAAATTTTATGAGTTTGGGTGAGGGAGAAGCTTTATAATGCAAGACAAAATATTTGGGCGTTGAGCATCGCTGATGTGTTATATTGATTTATTGGTGGATAAAGATTTTGTAAGTTCTAATATTTGATTTAAATTTGTTATTCACCAATAAATTAATATGACACATCATTGATACTTAGTATAAGATGAGCATCAATACTCATTAATTATATTATTATACAATCGAGAACACGTACATCCAACATTAAATATCTAGCTCAAATATCGTAAAGTTGGAGAAAGGATGAAGTCTAGTTCAAATGTATATTGTTGCATTACCCTTCAAATGATATAAGGAGGGGATATTTATAGTATTACATATGAAATGGTATCCATTGGATGATAAGGTACGTGGCTTTATCTTCTTAATCGAAGCATCATAACTTAGGCATTAATTTGATCTCATTAGCTTGTGACGCATTTAATGCTCTTAAAAGGGAGCAAGCACCCTACAACCAATGCTAACAAGATTTTGACATATAACTTATTACAAGGGTCACGTCAATCATTTGAATAAGATTTTATTAATAGGAGATCTTCGAAGAAAGTGGATCATGAACATGCCTCGGATTGAGCTTTCGAACCACAATCGCTTTAGGGAGTGGGATTCAGTATTTGAGCTTTGCCACTTCGAAGAAGAGCGTTGGCCAACCTTGTGTGGGATGCTACTCCACGATGAAGTCTAGTTCAAATGTATATTGTTGTATTACCCTTCAAATGATACAACGAGGGAGTATTTATAATGTTACATATGACATAGTATCCATTGGATGATGAGGCACGTGGCTTTGTCTCTTTAACCGAAGCATCATATCTTTGGCATTAATTTGACCTCGTTAGCTTGTAGCGCTTTTAATGCTCTTAAAAGGGGGCACGCACCCTACAACTAATGCTGACAAGATTTTGACATGTGACTTATGACAAGGGTCAAATCAATTAGTTGAATAAAAATTTATCAATAGGAAATCTTCGAAGGAGGTGGGTCATGAACAAGTATCAGATTGAGCTTTCGAACCACAATCGCTTTAGGTAGCGGGCTTCGGTATTTGAGCTTTGCCACTTCGAAGAGGAGCTTCGACCAGCCTTGTGTGGGATGCTACTCCACGTGGGATGCCACGTAGGTTTCATGTGAAACCTCGGTGGCAAGGTGTAACAGAATTTTTGGAGAAAAATTGTCATTAGCAACTAAATGTGCTCATTAATGAAAAATTGTGCATAAAAATGTGACAGAAAAATAGAGACGCAAGTATAACAATGAAATATTATGGATATAATATAAATATACCAATTGGGAATTGGTGGATGGACAAATTCACACTCTGAACCAACCGATGAACGGTTACATTTCAAAGCTCCTTCGGCTACATAATTTTAAAGCTCAGTGACCTAAGCTCCGATTTTCGCAAATAAAAACTTATTTCCATTATTTTTTCACCCTAAACATTTTGTCATCTCATCCCCCAGCCACTGCACATCTCAGACCAAGCAAGAACAGCAACAATTCCCGCGCTTAAAACCCTAGGGTTTAAAGTCTACCATTCTTTCACAGATCATATTAATTTTTTTTCTATTTTCAATTCATTATGGAAGTGGATATGGATGCTTCTCCCAGCTATTTAGACCCAGAAGATCTGAGTAGTAGAGAGCGCTTTCGTCGATACGGGTACTTAATGTCATTGCACCCTGCGTTCTATTACTGTATCGCAAAAAATAAAAAATAAAAAGAAAGAAAAAAAGAAAAAATTCGTCGATTATGCGAATAATTTTCACGTTTTCATTTTGAACTTGAACTATCAAGATTGTACCTGATGGATTTTAGTACCCATGAGAAAATTTCAAATTTTGCTGTCCCGAAAGTCAAGCCCTAAAATTTATGAATAGTTTTTAATTTTTAAGCAGTGCCTCCTGTTTTAATTCCAGTTAAAAGAATTTTATTTATTTATTTTTTCTTTTAGGACCAATATTTGGAAATTTGTTAGATATGTCATTTAATTAGATGCTAATATTCTATATACGGAATTACATTCTCGTTCACCATTGCTGGAAGTTTTGCTGTACTTGTTTTCCTGCAATATTTGGATTCAGAATGTAATAGTAATACATGATTTTAATTCGATGAAGTACCAAGCAAATGAGTACCATTTCATATTGGAATATACATGGGGAGGCTTTCATCCATTTATATGATAATGCAATTCATTCATGAAACATTAATTTTAAGCAAGTTTGATTGGATTTTTTTTTTAAATACGAGGATTAAAGCAAATCTAACAAGTGCAGGAAAAGGCAATCTAGTTCAGGCCAATCACCATACCAAGATAATTCAGTCTCGAGATTTAGTAATGCAGTGCTTCTACTCGAAAATATCAAACATGAGGTCGAGAGCCTCAGCACAGATCTTGGAGGAACACCTTTTGAATCTGCTTCAAAGAGGAGAGCGTCCCTTGACAACCATGCTGTATCAGAGGCAGATATTGGTGTTGATACAATGCTAAGACGGGGAAGTGAGTCTCTAAAGGTCGGCAAACAGGAAGATGGTGCTGGAACTGAGAGTGGGGACACAACTTTCCATTTATTTGCTTCTCTACTGGATTCTGCCCTTCAAGGTACTTGGAATGTATATGTTTTTGAATTTGAAAATTTTCACTCTTTCAATGATACTGCATCACATATACTGCGTGTCATATATCTGGAAATTTTTTTTGAAGCTCATGAAATCTGCAACAGATTCCCTCCTGAATATTTCAAGAGGTCCAAGGAAGCTACTGTAGACATTTAACAAACATGTTCATGCTTGATTCTGGTGTCTTTAGGATCATCAGGATTTTAAAGCTCAGTATAATATCAATTTCTCGAGTCTACCCCAAATAAACTAATCATGTAACCATCTCTTAGAATGTGAATGCATAGTTTACTCATTTTCTGCCACAATCTTTTTCTTGGATGTTCTCTTTCTTTTCTGAAAGAAGCTGGGACGGAGAGGCGTATAATTGTTTTAAGACATTTGATGGGATGTTCTCTATCTATTGTGCAAGAAGCAGAGATAACTTAATCCTTGCATTTTCCTTATTTTGTCTGTTTGTGTTTTTTAGGGTTGATGTCTATCCCTGATCTGATATTACGACTTGAGCGTACTTGCCGTGATGCTTCAGAAACAATTAGGTATGTCACGTGCATAAATTTGTAAAAACTTATGCAAGTGTGGGTATTTGTATGCTTTTAGAGCAGGAGGTTGTTTGTTTTTGTGTGCATTGTTACTGTTGATAGGGGAGTGAGTTGAATACACTTGGCTGCTGGGATGTATGTTTTTAGCATTTTATGTTGAGTGCTTAGCCAAGTAATGTTAGATAGCATCTTGAATAATGTGAATGTCACTGGGCCTTAAAGAAACCAGTCAAGCATGTGCTTTGTGAACGTGAAGAGAAATTCATCAGCTACAAGGTTAGAGTGGTGCTTTAAGAGAGGGTTTTGGCTTCAAGTAATGATAGTCGTCCTTTTGAATATTATTCCTTACTTTGACAGTTTCATCATTTCCAATTCCATTTGTTCCGAATTCTAGATAAATGCATCATGCTTTATTAGTGCCTTTGTGAACACGTCCTTGACAATCGTTATAAGAAACCTATGGAGGAAGGGATGGGGTTGAGAGCCCCAAGATTTACTAGCCCATGTCTCGTCTAATAATGGCTTCTATTGTATCCTAGTTTTCTTGCATTTTCCATGCATATTACTGGATGAATTTCTGTGCCTTATTCCTTGTATGCGTGTCACTTCTGAGCTCTTTTAGCAGATATTTGATGGTTGGAGGCACGATTTTGGTGTGAAATTAAAACATCAGAACATTCATGAGCCACCTTACAATGTTGAAAGTGGGAATTCCTTTCTTTTTTCTTGTTTTTTATTTTTATTTTATTTATTTGTTTAATTTTTGTCTTGCCAGAAGACTTTCTGCACTTCAGGTATTTTTTGTAATTAGTGCCTGTGTGTTCACTGAAATGTTTGTTCGCGTTGTCCTTTTGCCATTAATTTACTGCGTTTAGTAAATGGAGAAACACTTGTAAGGCATCCTTTTCCTGAATCACAGGACAGACAAATTAGTAATGATATCCTGACTAATGTTATACTGATCCACTGTTTTTGCTGTAGATATGGCTCCACTGAAAGGTACAGAACTGTTGAGAATAAACTGATGAGACAAAAAGCTCGGCTCTTGCTTGATGAAGCTGCTTCGTGGTCTCTTCTGTGGTACCTATATGGGAAAGGAAATATATCTAACCTTGAGGATGTTATCTATTTTGTAATACACTGTTAATATTGCATGTAACTTTCGTAATTACTTTTTTGAGAATTTATTTCTTAAGCTTTTTGCTCTCTGATTAAACATGGAAGTCCTAACTGAAAATTGATATTTTTACATCAAGATGATTTTAAGATGATTTGGAATTGAATTGCAAATATAACCAACATGAAAGAATTCACCAATAAGTTTCTTTAGCAGTGTCATTCCTTTATGCACTAAATTAGCATTCAATGGCTAATTTCATTCCGACACGTACAAGTGTCCAACACGACACATGTCAAATACGCTGAAACATGATATTTCAAAAAGGTATTGATACGACAATTCACCGACATGTTAATTAAATTCTTCACTTATATGGCCCTTGTTTATCAATAACACATTTTTCAGTAAAATAATATTACACGTAAACGTAAAAACTTTTTATTTCTTTTTAAACCTAAGAACTTTTTTATCTTTTTAACCACATATTCTTCAAAAAATTACTATTCCTTTCACTATAAGTTAAAATAATGGAGCCCAAACAGCGGCATAATATAATTTTAGTTTTATACTTGTTATTAATTTTTCTTGTTGAAATATTTTAAATATGAGTACCTATTGTTATTTATAAATAATTTTGCGTTAAAAATATATAATATTTCTAATAAAAAATTGATCATGGCAAAGTGTTCGAGAAGTGTTGGATATGGACACGTCACTCTAGTTAAAGTGTCCCTGCTACAGGGATTCTATCAGATTTTGTTGACCATCTTTTAAGCTTCTTAACTAATTTCAGTTCTTGTAGTTTGCTGTGATCTATTGTGTTCTCTCGAATGTTAATATTAAAGTTTAGACATATTAGAAAAATATTATATATTTCAAAAAGTTCTTTATCCTTGAGATTTGAGTTCTATATATATTCTACTTCTAGTGCTGGAGTTATATCTCCATCAATAACGGTAGTGTAAACTTGAGAGGAGTTCTGCTTGATGTTATGCCTTGGGAGTTTCTTAAGTGTCCGTGTTTCATATTGCTTCGAATTTATTGTTCAACGCTAAAGTGTTTTCTTCTTTTCTTGCAGGAAACGAAGAACTTCAGGACGGTTTACTCCTGGTGATATATCGTCCATTGATTAAATCACCCATTAATATTTATCCATGCCAAATATATTGCTGTTAAAAATCTGTGTTCAATATGGATTATTCAAAAAATTGTGCCCCCCCCCCCCAAAACCCCGCTGCCCATCGTGTGTCACACTTGTCACCTTTTCTCCTTTGTTCTTTGCGTTATTCAAATTTTGAGTTGCATCTGATGCTTGATGACAGTTTCCTACAACTTCACATTTGGAAGCCTGTCAATTTGTTTCTTCAAATCATACAGCACAATTGTGCCTCCGGATTGTTCAATGGCTTGAAGCATTAGCCTCCAAATCCCTTGACTTGGATAATAAGGTAATAGGCTTGTTGATCATGTCAAGAAGCTTTGATTGGACTTGGTTTACACAAAAACGTTTAGTGTTCACTAGTCACTCATAGACTGGAAAGGAAGTGAGATAATGGCTACTTATGGGGGGAAGGATTGGAAAACTGTTTGAATAAATATATACTAAACAAAGGAGTAATTAGGTGCTAATTTTTTGGGTTTTATAAATCACCAAGTAGGATGGAAGGAGCATTCTGGTGTTCAGAACAAGGAAATGGCTCTTCTGGTATGAAATAGTAACTAAGAACCTTATAGAAATGCTAAAACAATATTGCTGACTGGCGAGATTCGTGAAAACTCGAAAGTGAGTTGACGAGAAGGTCTTGATAGGGCTATAATGGTTAAAGGAATCTCATTTATCCTTAATGAGGCACCATATAGTGATTATTATAATACAGATGTTTGGGAATACTGTATTTAATGTTTGATGGTATCTCTTGTTTACTTATTCTGCATGTTGTATTATGGATTTCCCTATTTTTGTATATTTCAGCTTGTAGTTTTGTTGCTCCAAGTGGATGGAATTGCATCTAGTGCTCTAGTTAGCTTATTTTTTTCTTCTTCAAAATTTGCCCCTGTTTGACACCTTTTATTTCAAAACTTTTTTCTACGTACTCATTTTTAATTACACATTCACACAATAAAATATTCTACACATAAACCCTAAACTTTTCCCTACTTTTTAACCATACATTCTCCAAAACTTTGTTTTTGCCAATTAATGGCATCAAACAGGGCCTTTATATTTATCACCAGACTAGTTTTTGTCGAAAGGAAGAATCCTGCTTTGCTTTTAGTATGTGAGCTAGTTACTATGGAATATTTGATTTTATTTGTTTTCTGGGTCATCCCTGAAGTTGTAACTCATAACAGTGGTGTATATTGACTCCATTTTTCATGAGTGAGCCTTGTTTGAGGCTTCACAAAATCTTTTGCTAAGTCGGTCTGAATTTTTTCTGTGCATTTTTTTTCAGGTCCGTGGCTCTCACGTGGGCACTTATCTCCCTAGCTCTGGAGTTTGGCGTCATACTCAACGATACCTTAGACAGGGTGCCTCCATTCCAAGGACAGTTCATCACTTGGATTTTGATGCCCCAACGCGTGAAAATGCTCAGCAACTACCTGACGACAAAGTACTCTGAACTTTATTTGCACGTGCATGATTGCCTAGCTGATTGCCATGACATATATCTTAAAATACAGTGTAACACCATCACTTTTAGACTTCTGCCTCCCTTTACTTGTTTAGCCCCTGTTTGGTTCCACCAAAAAATTGGATTAAAATCCAATTCAAAGTCAACACTTAATTTTGATACTACACTCAAAAATTTTTAACCATACATTTCATCAAATTTTATCAAAATCTACTAAAAATCTGATTTTTATATAAATCAAACAGGGGCTTAATCTTAACACCATTCAATTTTCAATTACATGCATGCACTTTTACTAAAGCACAGACTAGCTTCTTTAGAGTATTACAAGAAATAAGATGGTACATTACTAAATTGTATGATTCAATGAGCATAGTACCCTCCTTTTGAGAGTGTCTGCTCCATGGCCTTGGGTTTTCTTCATTAACTGAATGTAAAATAAGTATTTTCCATAGATTAAGGGCGCAGATATTAGTTTTTCCTAGGATCTAAATTTGGCATGCTGTGAACTGGTTGTGTGAGGAGATGTCACTCAATTAGAGTTCCATGGTTGCTGATTGCTCAGTCTTAATCGGATTTCTTATCTGGAGGTAGCATTGAACCTTATTTCTGGAGAGGGAGTGGGATTATTATTTTTTTATTTTATTATTATTATTATTATTTTTTTCATAAAGAGACGAACACATCTGGGAATGGTTAAAGAAGACAATATTCCTTTGTCTGTTATCGTTGTGTTTGCCGGGGTGGATAGGCGTGAGTTCACATGTGGTGCTCAGCATCTATCAGCCGTTTCAGCCTAGTTGGGATGGGTCATCTGGGATACAATTTTATTTATTCACCTCTTGCATATCTGTACAGATACATCACACAGGATTTTGCTGATAGGTAACCCAGTCCATTTGTGGATTATGATTCGTCTCAACTCAATTCTTCGGGTTGGGTTGCCTTTTTTCTTTGAAGCACGATTCTGCATTTTTCTCTCTTCCTTCTCTTTCCTTGCTTGTGGTTGGACATCTTTCCTCACTTTGCTTTCATTTAACTTTCCGACATAACCTGTGGCCGTCATTTATTATTTCCAAATATAAAGAAATGAATGCTGATGTTAATTATGGTGTATGATGTTGCTTTGCAAATTCAGATATACTTGTATAACATTTGTTACTTGTACATATTAATATTCATATTTAATTATATATCAGAACTATCTTTATGTGTGACAGAAACAAGATGAATCTCTTCTAGAAGATGTCTGGATTCTGTTGAGGGCTGGAAGACTGGAAGAGGCATGCAGTCTTTGCCGGTCTGCTGGACAGGTAAGGGAATCAGTCGAGATGTGTAAGACTGTTTAGTTTTCATTCTTTCATGCTTCAGGGAATACTGCAGGAAAAGGGATTTCCTTGTTTTCTGATATTAGCTTTTGCCTGGGCAGCCATGGAGGGCTGCAACTCTATGCCCCTTTGGGGGATCCAATATGTTCCCATCTATTGAAGCCCTTGAGAAAAATGGCAAGAACCGAATGCTGCAGGCGATTGAACTGGAAAGTGGAATTGGTCACCAGTGGCATCTTTGGAAATGGGCTTCCTATTGTGCATCAGAAGTAAGTACGGAGAAACTGAAGTTAGTCCAATAAGTTTCTTGTACTTATCGCTTGTGCATCAGAATTAGGGAAAAAGAAAACAATGAATGAGCTCTTTTTTATTATTTTTGTATTTTTGTAAATATCGATACTTGCATGTTTGCTTTTCTCTAGAAAACCTGCTATTTTTTCCTTTTTTCAAGCTTTAAATATCATGCACTTTGCTTTAGAAATTGTAATCTTGCTGAGTTTTTATGAGTGTATTCCGGGAATCTTATCTTTATTACGCCATGTGTGAAATACTCTTATTAATGGGCCATCAAAATCACACGCACGCACTGACATACGCTAATATATTTTTTAAGTTTCTGTGAACTATGGCGTTCTATTTGTTTCTCATTTCATTGAAGAAAATTGCTGAGCAAGACAGTGGGAAATATGAAGCAGCAGTATATGCAGCTCAGTGCAGTAACTTAAAGCGCATGCTTCCAGTTTGTACTGACTGGGAGGTATGTCAGTTCGTTTTTCCCATCATTTAAGTTCTCAGATATTATGTATTTGGATTAGTTGTCATCAGGGAAATAGCTACTTCCATTTGCATGTCATAATACTTTGATACTGTAATGAAGTTACTAAAATGTATATGGTTTTGTCAAACTTGTTGGACCACATTTAATGTTTCATTTTCAGTGCCTAGCATATTCTGGGTCAATGTTCCTGGTCTAGAAGTTCTTGTTTCTTGTAGAAAATTAATCTATAGTCTCTTCCATACTTATTACAACTTGTTCTTGATGAGTCAAACGTCTTATATCTAGGCAGGGAAATGCAGGATTATATTGTGTGATGGGTTCTCCATCCATAGATACATTATTCTGACTTTGCACAGTTGAATGTTCTGTTAGACGTTATTTCCTCAATGGAGGATATCTGCTTATGTCAGTCAAATTCACTATTTTCTGGCAGAATTCTTCTCTCCTAGGAAATACCAAATCGAGCTTGTTTGCTTCGCAAAAGTAACTTACAGCTGGAAATTCCAGCATTGAAAATAGCCTTTGCTGGAACAATTTACTGTGGCCACTGTGTGGAATCTGTTAGCCTTAAGGAACCGGTCTGTTGAGTTAGTAAAACCCAATCTAGTTTTGAACTTCATGATCACACAGTAGTTACTTGAGAATGATTTTTCAGGAGATTAATTCCACGGTCTGGATGTTTCGGTAGCTGATTGCAACTTCTTTACCTCACTGAGGTCCACGTACATTTACATTCTATGTCTTTGTTTCAGGGAGGGTTGGGTGGATTTTTTTGGGCGAATCTCTTCTTTATGTTTTATAATGGTGACATACAGTACAAGAATTGCTCCCATTTAGTGTTTACGTTATGCTATTTTATTTACTGAACAAAAACGTATTTTAAAACAAACGTCCTTCAATATCAATTGATATCTGAGGGCTCGTCCCTCTTTGTTTTTATTTGCAGTTGAAAACTTTAGCACATTAACTTTTCCTTTCTTAGTTTCTTAAAATTATCTAATGCTGTTTTTGTTTTCAGTCTGCATGCTGGGCAATGGCCAAATCGTGGCTTGATGCCCAAGTTGATATTGTAATTGCCCGCCTACAACCTGGCAGAACAGATCAGTTCAACAGTTTTGAAGAAGCAATTGAGAGAAGTGCTGATCAAGGAGACGCTGCCTCTCAGCCAATTCTTAGACCAGATAGTTGGCCACTTCAAATTCTGAATCATCAACCTAGACACCTTTCTTCCCTTCTTCAGAAGCTCCATTCAAGGTAAATATCATATTCTTCCAGTTATTTTCATTTTTAGTCTCATTATCTTATGAATTGGTCTTTCAAATCCTCTGCTTAATTTAGTGACACGGTGCATGAAGTTGTTGCTCGAGCATGCAGGGAACAGCATAGGCAAATTGAGGTAATAATCTTTATGATGTGGGGATTTTTATTTAGATTCAAAAACATGCTATTCTTGTTTTGTTTTCACACTTATCTGTGATCCAAAATCATGCTTTTATTGCCAATGAAACAGTATATTGTTTAAACAAGAAAATAATGTCATCTGCATCAAGGCAGATAAAAATAATTATGAACTCATGAATTAATCATCTACTTAGTTTTTCTTAAGTAGAATTACTTATTTAAACTGAAGCTTTATGCCTTTTCTTTTAAAATTTAGGTTATAATTCTTCAATGTTTTTTTCCTTAGTATTACCTTAGAGACATATACCACCTTCTAAAGTGGCTTCTTTCTCTTATGATCAAGATGCCCCCCCCCCCCCCCCCCCCCCCCCTCCCNCCCCCCCCCCCCCCCCTTTCTCTTAACGAGGATTAGTTACAAATACTGAAATATGAGATGTTGTGACGTTGCTTTTTGTTGGACTAAGGCACTATGTTGCTGAGTTATCAAATAAAGACTTCTGATGACACACACAGTCTTTTAGTTACAAATACTGAAATACAAGATGTTGTGACCTTGCTCTTTGTTGGACTAATGCACTAACTTGCTGAGTTATCAAATAAAGACTTCTGTTGACACACACACAGTCTCTTCCATTTCTCTCTATTATACATGGTCATCTGATTTAGCATTGTTAATGACATGTTATGAAAGTGATATTTTGCTTTGGTGCTGTTGAAAATGCAAGCATATAATGTTTGAGTTCGTTATTTTTTCTCTTTTTGAAAGCTTGGTGTATTATTTGTTTCTCCACTTAGACCACTTAGGAGTGCATAAATTTCAATACAGAAAAAGATGCGATTTCAAATAAGTGTTCAAATTACATTGACTAAAACCTTCATACAGATGAATCTTATGTTAGGAGACATACCACATTTGCTTGACCTAATATGGTCATGGATATCACCTTCCGAAGATGATCAGAACATTTTCAGGTAATTGATGCTGTTTGTTGTTACTTATGAGTTAAAATTGCACCTTTAAAAAAGTTGTCTTTTTACACTTTGTTTGGTGATACTAATTTAGCAGTTTGATGTCCTCATTGTTCATGAATAGCCATTCTATTCCAAGTTGATGATACAAGAATTATGCACCAGCCAATTTTAATCAATAATTTCTATGTTGATCCCTGTCTCAGTTTTGTTTGAAATGTATCCTGTTGTCAGGCCTCATGGTGATTCACAGATGATGCGTTTTGGGGCACATTTAGTGCTGGTTCTTAGATATTTACTTGCAGATCAAATGATGGATGCTTTCAGAGAGAAGATAATGACTGTTGGTGACTTCATTCTTCATATGTACGTAATTTCTCTTTTCCACGATTAGTGTTACAGAATCACTTGTTAGATTCGTGCAAAGTATTTCAATATAGTATTTAGCTGCTGTCTTGGGAAGAGCTACATTCTTCTTATAAGTATTGGCACTCGTCAGAAAAATATCTTAAAATACATTTTTGAAGCACAATATGAAACCAGATAATCTAGGTATTTTTGTACTTCTTATGCCCCTAATTTTGTTTTTTCACTTCATAGCTTCATTTTTCTTAGTGATATCTCTGAACATAAATACTGTAATTGTTTTCCTCCATGTCCTAAAACTGATGTGTCATGCACCCAGTTTTGAACATCCATTACTAATACTAGATATTGAAATTTAAGTTAAGTGGTACATAAATGAATAAGTTCAACTCTCCTATGTTGAAAAGCAATATTAGGAGCTTTCTCGCCAGTCACAGTCAGATTGATCTTATTGTGATTGCCTTCTCTAAAGCTCAAGTGTAACTGACCATAGTTGCTCTTTCACTTGTAGTGCAGGGAAGGTTAATAGTAGTTCAAAGAACTGCTAAATTGCATTCTGTTATATCTGAAATCTGAACAATAATTTTGTCAATGGGAACAAGTGGAGATCATGCACAAATTGATAATTTTTTCAGTTTCTCGCTGCTAATTATTATTAATTGAATTTATTTGGTTACTCTTTTCTTTTAAACAATAAATAAATAATTTTATTGACACAATTTATAGTTATTCAAAAAAGCCTGCCTGTCGCGTTAATTTTAAGGTTTGACATATCCATATATGTTATTTGATGTGGTACATCACAACTACAATTAATAGTTTCATACTACAATTATGTTTTATTTTTTCTATTATGTTTATCTATTTAGTTTTCTTGTATAATTGTAATAAAACTTTTTATCTTTTATTTGACTAGGATTATAGTTTCAGTTTGTTTCAATTTCCTAATACTATTAGAAATAGGGAATAATCTTGCCTAGGGTATTGTACAATTTTCGTATCATCAATCATTATTCAATCAATACCCAAGGAAGTTATTCCAGTATTCTCTTGGTTTCTTATACAATTCTTATTACAAGAATTTTATTATTGCTTCTGTACCAAAATTGGTATCAGAGCAAGGAATTCACCTCAATCTGTCCGAAAACGAATGGAGGTTTGAAAAAAATTGAACGCCTAGAAGGGATGGATGAAGCTCTTTGCAACATCACGTAGATGTTGACTGTGTAGATTGTTGAGAAAATCGCGAATACATGGCAGAACAACCAAGCAGGAAAGTGGACAAAGAGTTAACAACACAGATTTTGACAAAGGAGGTACTAACTTAGACGCAAAAAATCCTAGGGTTGGAGCGAGGGGACTATCCCCTATATGGGGAAAAGACATCGACCCCTTGCAGATGATCGACTCCAGCAACAAAACCTAGGACCCATGTTGAATCTGCCTTACGCGAGAACCCAGTTGGGAATCGTGACCTTCGTGATGCCGCTTCTTTGCGGTTCTACGAGCGACGAAATGGGGGTTATGGTGGACCATGTTGAATCTGCCTTACGCGAGAACCCAGTTGGGAATCGTGACCCTTGTGATGTCGCTTCTTTGCGGTTCTATGAGCGACGAGATGGGGGTCATGGTGGATGGCGTAACGCAGGTGACATTCAACAAGGTGCTTCGAGCGACAGCGACGTTAAACTTATTGGTAGGGATGTTTGGTCGCGAGCGGCAGTGAGAAATCTGGAACGACAAATAGGAGGCTGTCAAGTTGGAAGAATTGGAAGAGAATTGTGACCTGTGGAATGAACGAGGGTGTTTTAATTTTGACCAAGGCTTCGATTTTGACCAACAATTTAATTTTGACTAGATAGGTAATTTTGATCAAAGAATTAACCTTGATCGAGGCCCTAATTTTCAATTGAGGGCTAGAGGCTTTCAATAGAGATAGCAGCATGAGTCCAATTATTCATCCGAAGAAGACAGTTTTCGACCAAGGGCTAAAATCGGGAACGAAATTGAGGGCTAGAGGCTTTCAACAAAGATAGCAGCATGAGTCCAATTATTCATCTAAAGAAAGTTTTTGACCAAGGGCTAAAATCGGGAACCAAATTTTCAAGAGTTTAAGATGAAGATGGACTTACCAAGTTTTAATAGCCGATTAAATATTGAAGTTTTTTTGGATTGGATCCATACTGTCGAAAATTTCTTCGACTATTTGAATATCTCGGAACAAAACCGAGTTAACTTGGGGATACAAATTAAAGGGTGGAGTTTTTGCACAGTGGGAACAACTTCAATTAAATTGTCAAAGACAAGGAAAGCAACGTGTAAAAACCTGGCCCAATATAAAACAGTTACTGCAAAGGCAATTTCTCCCTCCGGATTATGTGCAATTTTTGTACCAGCAATATCAGAATTGTCAACAAAACAACCGGACAGTAAACTAGTACATGGAGGAATTCTATTCGATTAAATGCCCGAGTTAATTTGTTTGAAACAGAAGCTCAATTAATTACTCGACATATAGGAGGTTTAAAGTTAGTCATTTAAGATCAACTAGCTCTTCAAGAGATTTTGACCATGATAGTCAAGCAATGAAAGTGGAAAATCAAATGAATAGAACCACAGCCCGTGCTCAAAGGTAATTTTCAACGACCAACTCAAGAAACTTATTCTACTCCAAAGATGCAACGACCTCGGGCTACAACAATAACAGTAAGGATACCACTCCAATTCAAAATTCAGCGCAGAATCAAAGTAGAAGTTCAGTTCCTATTCAGTCAACACCTAAGGTAGAAACCAGATCCAAGAATGAGCCAATAATGACCCCTATGCATATCCTAATCTTGAGAAGTGCTTTCGGTGCAATCAACCCGTTCATTTTTCAAATAGCTGCTGAAACAGGTAATCCATTAACCTTGTAGTAGAAGGCGAAAGTGATGAACAAAATCTTGAAAACAATGATTATGAGGGTGGTGATGTTATGGATGTAGATGCAAATACAGGAGAAGAATTGGCGTGCATTGTCCAATGCCTTTTGCTTGCCCCGAAATATCTTGATAGCTCTCAACGGCACAAAATCTTTGGGACTCAATACACTGTTCGTAGTAAGGTATGTAATGTGATCATTGATAGCGACGGTAATGAGAACGTTGTTTCCAAAGCAGTGGTAAAAGCATTAAATCTGAAGACCGAGGGATACCCTTCTCCACACATGATTACATGGATTAAAAAAGGCCCAGAAATTCAAGTTCTAGAGATTTGTAAGATTGCTTTGTCGATTGGAAAATATTACAAAGATGAGATCATATGTGACATGGTAGATATGAATGCTTGTCATAACTTATTGGGGCGTCCATGGTACTATGATGTCAATGCCACTTATAAAGGGCGGGATAATACTTTCCCATTTTGGTGGTTTGATAAGAAGATCATTTTGGTACCACAATCTCAACCTATGGAAAACGACTTTGCTATCAAGGAAGAGAAATCACTTTTTACCAACATATTGGGCCCTGAATTCTTTTAACAAGTAAAAGAGCCTTGCATTATGTTAGCATTAGTAGTTAAAGGCTAATCAGAAGCAACTATGCAAATCCCCGCCAAAGTTCAGAAGGTACTCGTTGATTTTGTTGAGATAGCACATAATGAGTTATCAAATGAGTTTGCCCCCTATGCAAAACATTTAACAGTATATTGATTTGGCACCTGGAACTAGTTTGCCTAACTTGCCACATTATCACATGAGCCTAGTTGAACATGAAGAGTTGCAACGAAAGGTTAATGAGTTACTTGGGTTGATTCATGAGAGGACAAGTCCTTGTGCAGTTTCTTCTTTACTCACTCCAAAGAAATATGGCAGTTGGCGAATGTATATAGATAGTCGTACTATTAATAAAATAACAATCAAGTATCGTTTTCCCATCATGCGTCTTAATGATATGCTCAACAGGCTAGAAGGTGTAGCGATATTTACCAAACTTGAGTTAAGGAGTGGCCATCATCAGATCCGTATTCAACCTAGTGATGAGTGGAAAACAGCTTTCAAAGCCAAAGATGGTCTCTATGAGTGGTTAGTGATGTCATTTGGGCTATCAAACGCACTAAGCACATTCATGCGATCAACGAACTAAGTTCTTCGTCCATTTTTAGGAAAAATTTTGGTGGTCTATTTTGATGATAATCATATCTACAACAAGAATGAAGATGAGCATTTATCACATCTTACAGAAGTTTTCTCAACTCTACGAAATAATAAATTGTATATCAATATTAAAAAGTGCAGCTTTATGATTGACCAACTTTTGTTTCTTGGTTTTATAGTGGGAAAAGATGGTATTCAAGTTGATAAACCGAAGGTGAAAGCAATAAGTGAACGGCCAACTCTTAAAACTGTGCGAGAAGTACAAAGCTTTCATGGGTTAGCAACTTTTCACAGGCGTTTCATTTGAGGATTCAGTACAATAATGGCATCTATTACCGATTGTCTGAAAAAAGGCCAATTTTATTGGGGTAAAACACAGGAAAATAGTTTTGAGACAATAAAAAAGAGTTATGCACTACATTGGTGTTGGCACCGCCTAGCTTCGAGAAGGTATTTGAAGTCGAGTGTGATGCTTCAGTTATGGGTATTGGAGCATATTATCTCAAGAAGGTCGTCCAGTCGAATTTTTCAGTGAAAGGGTTAGTGAATCTCAACAAAAGTGGACTACTTATGAGTTAGAATTTTATGCCATTATTCGAGCCTTTAAGCATTGGAAACATTACTTGATTCAACGAATTTGTGCTATTTACAGATCATCAAACCTTGAAGTTTGTTAAT